AAAGACACAAGTTTGGGGTAAAAGTTTTCAAACTTTGTCTTGAACAAGGTTACACGTATGATTTCAAAATATATTGTGGGACAGAAAAAAATACTACTTCTGACAGCGTACCAACATCGATTGTTATGGGGCTTTGCAAAAATTTATTGGATAGTGGCCGAACCATATTTGTGGATAACTATTATACCAGTATCGAACTTGCTCACAAATTGCTGGACAGACAAACTCATCTGGTCGGTACCTTAAGAAAAAATCGGAAGGGAATCCCGAAAGACATAGTACAAAAAAAATTAAAAAAAGGCGAAGTTATTGCCAAGGAAAGTGATTCTGGAGTGGTGATACTGAAGTGGTGTGATAAACGTGAAGTTTTGATGCTGACAACAAAACACAAAAATGAAATGGTTACTGTAAAGTCCAAAAATGGAACTGAAAAGGAAAAACCAACAGCTATTAGAGACTATAACCAAAACAAAAGTTTCATTGATCTCTCTGATCAACTAAAAGCCTACTCTTCTTGCCTCAGACGTAGCCTCAAGTGGTATCGCAAATTGGCAATAGAAATTCTTCTAGGTTCAACTATCGTAAACGCGTTTATACTATATAAACAGGTTACTGGTAAAAATATCACAATTACCCAATTTAGAGAAGATATTGCCAAACACTTGCTAAATATAACCTCAAGAGAAAATCCTCCATTGGTAGAGAGCCATCACATTCAGGAAGTGAACACTACTAGTAGACGTAGATGCTCAAATTGCTACAAGAACATGTCCGAACAACACGGTAGAAAATATGCCACGTCTAAGGCCACTATGTCGCGTTATAAATGTATACAGTGCGATAAATTTTATTGTATACCTTGCTTTACTTCTGTTCATATGTGCAAATTACGAGTATAAAGACTGCAAAATACTGATTTCTTAGGTTTTATTTTTTATTTTGTTGTTGAAATATAAATTTTGTGTTTATAAATCTAAGCAAATATATTTTATTTTATATATTTTCAAATTTGGTCTGTTTATTTTTCAAATAAAATAATATTTTGCTGTCTAAATTCATTGATTTTGTATTTACCTAACAAACTACATTACAACAGTAAAAAGAATAAAATACATAAAAAAATATGGTATGACATTGTGACATTCAACCCTTAATTAAATCGTAGATAATCGGGTCCAGGGCCGGGCCAACTAACTTAATTTTTTCATTGGGCCATCTACTTTTAATTCTCATAGCATTTCCACTCAAACGTGAAGCAATTCTGTGCAGCGCGGCTTGGAATAAAACATTACATGCGAGACATATGTGTGCGGCGCGGCCTGTTGTAAATACATTAGTGCGAGGCACACTTGCCGCACATGGCGATCAACGTGTTAAACAACTTGGTAGGGATTGAAATGTTTACGATCTAAAAACCCTGTTAACCAAACAAATTATTATTAAGAGATCACAAAAACAACGATATTTTGCTTAAAACCGAGCAGTTTTACAGAAAGAAATGATAGTACATCCAAACAATTCTAAACATTATTGAAATGTGGAAAGAGCTTTCGACTTTACACTTACCTGCTGTAGAACTTCAAAACCAAACTAAACCAAAAAAACTCCAGAGCCTCTCGAAACTATTAGTGGAACTGCCAAGGGCAAATTAGGTCAACAATCTTAAGCTAACATGATTACAACCAATTCTCTCTAACTGTGGTGAGCAAAATAACAATCAAGTGAAGCTTGGAGAAACTAACATTGATGACATTAACGAAGAAGCTGAATGCTGTGATTGCAATGATGATGATTGTGGAGACCTTTTTGACATGTGTAATGTCAATGTGTAATGTAATTAAAGATTATTTTGTATTTAAAATAAAATACTATTTTTATGAAGATATTTGAGTTTTTTTACATCACTACCAAAAGTCAGTCATACTATTTCGTGTAGACAGTCAAAATGCGTTTTAACCCAGAATGACAATCTAAATGCAGAGTGTCCAACTGTTTTTTAAGTATTGTTCTAAAGCTATTTTCTTGTGGCATTTTAAATTAATTACTATTTAACTGGGAACTGTTTGTATAGAACCGGGATTCTGTTTGTATTTTGAGAACAATTTCTCTGAAGTGGAAATTGAAACGTCAATAAATGTATTTTAACCTTTAATTGTGGCTTATTCCCAGTTAAATAGTAATTGTTTTTTAAGTTTTTTGGGATATTATCAATACTAGATTTTTAGCATATAGGTATAATATTTGAATGATTTTTTATCCACATTTTAGGCATATCAGTTTTTTGCTTAATATCTTGTCAAATGCATAGCAGTTTTTCTCTATTTGGCAAAATTTCAAAAAATGGACAAAATGCATTTAGAAAATCTGCTCCTCAAATATTCATTAAGATCATCTCTCATTCAAAATGGGATGAAGAAAGAATCGCAGCATTCTTCCTTCCAATCTATACATCTTGACAGATACCTAGTGATTACGGTGACAATGAATGTTGTGTTGCTTCCAGGGATTGTATTGCTCTTTTTACTTCATCTATCCTTATTTTGGGAGGCATGTACCATATTGGACCAATTATTTCTACTGAATTGTAGCATTCACCACTTAAAAATGGATAAATTAAATGCATATTCAAATGATACGCTATTATTGAATATAAAAAAGAGATTAACAAAATAAGCATTATAGTGAGAAATTAAAAGAAATATACCAACATTCATATCTAGTTGGGGAACTATCAAAATACACTTTATTTTGTGAAACACCACATGAATTGATACAACTAAGCTTGGAATGATGATAGTGACTTGAGAATCATCTATAATTTATATTACAACCAAACAGCCAATATTAAAGTGGATGACCAATTGACAGAGGCAGTCTCCATAGATAGAGGAGTGAGGCAAGGATGCATTCTGTCCCGGTGTTATTTAATATATACTCTGAATACACAGCTTTTGATTAACCAACATCCAATTGACAGAGTGGACAGCTACACATACCTTGGTACCAACATTAACAGCCAATGGTAGGCTCCAGTAAAATAAAACAACGCATAGGAAAAGTGAGATCAGTGTTCATAATGATGAAGTGTCTTTTCAGAAGTCACGATTTACCACTTGTTACCAAAATCTCTCTCATTAGATGGTATGTATTTTCTGCGTTATTATACGGAGTAGAGGCCTGGACACTTTCCGAAACTTCTTTAAGAAAACTCGAGGCATTCAAGATGTGGTGTTACAGACGTACTTTAAGAATTTCATGTTTGGATTGTGTGACTAATGTTGAGGTCCTACATAGAATAGGCAAGGAATACGAGATTATTAACACCATCAAAGAGCGCAAACTAGAATATCTTGGCCATATTGTGAGGAATGAACAGAGATATGGCTTGTTGCAACTCATTCTTCAGGGCAAGGTATTTGGAAAGATAGGAATGGTAGGCTCCAGTAAAATAAAACAACGCATAGGAAAAGTGAGATCAGTGTTCATAATGATGAAGTGTCTTTTCAGAAGTCACGATTTACCACTTGTTACCAAAATCTCTCTCATTAGATGGTATGTATTTTCTACGTTATTATACGGAGTAGAGGCCTGGACACTTTCCGAAACTTCTTTAAGAAAACTCGAGGCATTCAAGATGTGGTGTTACAGACGTACTTTAAGAATTTCATGTTTGGATTGTGTGACTAATGTTGAGGTCCTACATAGAATAGGCAAGGAATACGAGATTATTAACACCATCAAAGAGCGCAAACTAGAATATCTTGGCCATGTTATGAGGAATGAACAGAGATATGGCTTGTTGCAACTCATTCTTCAGGGCAAGGTATTTGGAAAGAGAGGACCAGGGAGAAGAAGAATAACTTGGCTTCCAAACCTGAGAAAGTGGTTTAATACATCAACAACCGGACTATTTAGAATAGCAGCAAGCAAACTTAGAGCAAACAATGCAGTTTAAATAGAAATAAATCAATAGCATTTTTAAAAAAGATAACAAACCCAGGACAGATATGAGAATAGAATGACAAGCAACATAAGATAGCATGATGTAAAATTAAATTTTAGCCTAAGGAATGCACTTAATTGTTCACTCCCAGATATATAGTGGATAAAAAAGAAAAAATATTTATCAATATAGACATTATTATCAAACTAGTGGTAAGAGTAATAGAAGATATTACAGAAAGTTTGTTGATAAGTAAATTCTTTATCTTATTTTTGGTGAATATTGAATTTAAACCAAAGAAATGCATTTCTTTGGTTCTTCATGATATACAGGTTCAAAAAAGAAATAGTTATCAATATATAGATAACACTTATAAAAGTAAGTACCTAGCAGGTCAACACAAGATATTATACAGGTGAAAAGTATTTTAGATGAGTCAGTAGATTCTTTTTTCAAAATATTTTCTTCAATCTAAAGTCTTTGAATTATTTCGGAGGAATCGTTAATGTCAGTTTATAAAAATAAATTTACAATATAAAATCTTTATCAAAAATACATTACATTTAACTATCCTTCCATTTATCTATTTTTCCAAAATTACCCATATAAATTTTAAAATCCCACTACTTTACATTAGTTCTATTCCCACAAGATTTTTTATTATTACTTAATTAAATACATTATATATTATGTATTTATTTTATTATGTATGTATTATGTATTTATTTATTTCTGGTTGGGTTAATAATTTCTTGGAGCAGTCTAGCTGGAAACTGGAAACTGATTTACAAAATAAATAACACTTCAAAAGATTATGATGTACCTAATTATTACACCGCTTAATATGAAAAAACAATAAACCTAAATTAGCACAATTAGCAGAATAACTGTTAAAACTTTAGAAAAAATATTAAGGTTATATTTTTCCATTATATAACACGTGACAAAAAAGAATAAACAAAAAAATTAAAAGATTGTGCAATAATTGAACAGCTCTTCCGTCTAAACTTTGTAACTCATGTCAAAAACCTGTTGCAGAACAGTTTTAAAAACTTACCAACTGTAACAATATACAAAACTAGGCCAAACACCCACATATTATTGTTTTTAACAGACATATTTATTTATTCTCAGGTACACACTAAACCTTGTAAACAATTTTTTTTATTCTTTCCCGTCTAAACACCGACTGAAAATGCCAAAAGCACGAGAATGAAAGTTTATAGTGGCGGCCTTGTGAATCTGCTTTTGCGCAGAAATAGATTATCTCGCCAAATATCTTTTAGAAAGAAGCTAAAGATGAGACTATAAAAATCTAATATAACCTGTTATTTATGAAAGTGTTTTAGATAGCCACGGCTTTTATTCCTTTATGTTTCTTAAGAAAACGTTGTTTTTAATAGGGGAAAGGCACCGAATTTGAGACAGGCGCCTAATTTGAGACACCGTCGTATATTTGTGTACGATAGTGTGACATCTAGTTAAAATATTAAAAACTGATCATTCTGTGAAGTAATGGTAGATCTGCTTTTAGTTGACGCTTAGAAGTGACCTTTGTTGTTTTGTCGACGGTAATTTGATTTACACATTACACAAATTTTTTTCGGAATTTTTAAAAACTTACAATACATCAAGGTAAGATGATTACATTTACTCCAATTATTTTTTTTTGTTAGTTTAATATTAGTTAATACATTTTATGCAAATTAAACGATAATTGTGTGTCATACATAACCAAAAAATATGCGTTTTATTTTTAACGGAAAAATCCTAATTTGAGATACCTGTAGGTTCCAAATTTGAGAGTGTCTCAAATTAGGACCCCTTGTAAATTTTTTATTTTTATGTGTTTTGTTGTTTGTAGATGCCGCCAAAAAATAAAAAATGGAACGCAGATAATATGATACGTGCTGTAAATACAGTAAGAAATAGAGAGATGGGCTATTTGAAGGCCTCAAAAGTTTTTGGAGTACCAAAAGGTACCTTAGAACGATATGTGAAATCAGACAAGACTCCAGAAGAACTTGTCGGGATATCAATTGGGCGCCGACCTATTCTTCCTTTGGAATTAGAAAATGAGTTGGTTGAGTATGCCCTAATTATGGAGCAACGTTATTTCGGACTAAGAGCGCGTGATATAAAACGACTGGCATTTCAACTTGCAATACGAAACTCAATAGCACATCCATTTAGCGGAGTCAAAAAAACAGCCGGAAAGAAATGGTTAAGGCTCTTTCTGAAAAGACATCCGGCGCTTTCAATGCGTACTCCTCAGGGAATGTCATGTGCACGAGTAAAATCTTTTACTCCTGAAAATGTATCCAAGTTCTTTGACCTGTATGAACCAGAATATCTTAAGCTTACTAACCCTGCACAACGTATATTCAATGTAGACGAAACGGGCCTTACAATTGTTCAGCACAAACATAGTAAAGTAATTTCCATGAGAGGGAAGAAGCAGGTTTTCGTCACTTACTTCAGCAGAAAGGGGCAAGCTGATTACTGCTATTACATGTATGAATGCTGCAGGAGTTTTCGTACCACCATTATTAATCTTCCCCAGAAAAAATATGAAATCAGAGTTGATGCTAGGAGCTCCCATTGGAGCAATCGCAGAATGCCATGTGTCAGGTTGGGTACAGGCCGATATTTTCACTAGATGGCTTCAACACTTCATAAAATTCACTAAACCTTCAGCTGCAGACCCTGTTCTTCTCGTCCTTGATGGTCACTATTCTCATACGAGAAACGTTGCTCTAATAGATTTGGCCAAACAGAATCATGTGACGATTATTTGCCTCCCACCACATTCTACACATAAAATGCAACCGTTGGATGTTGCTTTTATGGCACCGCTGAAAACTTACTATGCACAAGCAATAGAAAACTGGCTTAGAGAAAATCAGTTGAGTGTTGTGTCGCCTTACGCCGTTGCCAGTATTTTTTGTAAAGCGTATAACAAAGCTGCGACGATGGAAATATCTTGCAATGGTTTCCGCAAAACTGGACTGGTCCCTATTTGTCGCCATATTTTTAGGGACTTTGAATTTGGAATTCAAGAGCACTTAGAAACACAAAACGAAAAGGATGAACAAATAATAGAAATAAACCATGAACAAGCAAATCATCCAATACAAGAACATAGAACTCCTAGTCCACCACTACCTCATCAACAACTTGTTTCTCCGAAAGACATCTGTCCAATTCCTAGATTCTACGAGAAAGATACAACTAAAAAACCACATGCCAGATCAGGAAAGGCTTCAATAATTACTTTAACACCCTACAAAGAAGAATTAGAGCAAAGTTTGCAGAAGAAAAAAGCAAAAAAACTAGTACCCCAGCTAAACTTGGATTGTGTATTTGCTCCAGAAAAAAACAGTTCAACAAAAGGTGTTAGATCAAAAAAAACAGCAATGCCCGAAGAAGAAATAGCAGATGAAGACGTAGATCAACCTTCTACATCAAAAGGCAAAACATCAAGAAGGAAGCGGAAAGTTTCTTCGAGTTCAAGCTCAGATAGCAGTGAAAACTTTCCATTAGCTGATTCATCGTCCAACGAAAGTGAAGAAAACGACGCGGAATGTTTATTTTGCACCGGCAAATTTTCCGACGATAGATATGGCGAACGATGGGCAAAGTGTTACCAATGTGGCAGGTGGGCACATGAAGACTGTGGAGAAATAAAGTCCAGCACATTTATTTGCCTTTTCTGCGAAGGAAAGGGCTTTTTTGAATAGTATCTCAAATTAAGGTACCTGTCTCAAGTTTAGATACCTGACTATCCCAAATTAGGGCACCTTTTATTTTTAATATTAAATGTCGCAAAAAAATTAAATGTATTTTTTTGCAAAAATATATGTTTTATTCGCTTTTTTTTTGTTTTGTTGTGTTCTAGAAACATTAAGTTTAAGTTTTCGAAATGAATGTTTTAAAAATTTTAAATATTCTGTTTTATATTTGTTTTTCAAAAAAAGTGTCTCAAATTTGGTGCCTTTCCTCTATTTTTGCATATACCTACCTACAAACTGGAAAATGACAAGGCGGTATTTTTTTCTTGTTAGTATTAATGTAAATGGCAAGATTCATCAATGCCGAGTGCGGCACATGTAAAGCAGATTTTTAAGAGAAAAGAATTAACAGCCACCAGTCAGAAAGTGACCGAGTTCTGTAATTCCAACGAGTTGTGTACTTTATTTTTGCTACGAATTATTTTTAGCACAACTTGTACCTTCTGATTATAAAGTAGATACAATAATATTAATCCATCTAGTTACACGTTTGTGTAACTAGAGGGCTATTTTGAACGTAACAATTACATTACTACTTACTACAAAGAAATAATATTGAAGAAGGAGAACGTTCGTCCTTTTATGATACATACACAACATAATAAATGCAAAACACAGAAAAGTTGCAAGTTCTAGAGAAAGTTTGTGTAAAATCGTACGTATACTATAGCTTATTTCAAATCGAGTGGCGAGCCCTTCCACGAAATAGTTAATCGCGCAGACAATAGAATATCTATGATCAGACCCATGCAGTGGCGTTGCAATATTAAACAAATTAAATGATTTAAAATCGCACTAATTACAAAATTAATACTCACTTAAGTAATAACTAGAGTTTGATTGTACACAGATTATTTTATAATATAATATATATTATAATTATTGTTTGTCATAATATCATCTTTAATAATTAATACTCTATAGTTTGGTAAAAGTTAATTTCTAATTTAGTATCAGTTTCCTTCAAACCGTAATTATAAAGTCATTATTAATGACTCCTTAACGACTCGTTAAGGACATACAAAGATCTGATAAGAATTATTTCCGAGAATTTCTAGTTACTGGATTTCAAACGAGTTCGTAATTTAGTCTCATTATGTTGTCTCAATAAGAAAGGTGCTACCACGCGTATTAGAGCTATTTTGTATAGTGGAAATGGTTAAGTGTAGTACGAGTAAACAGATCAGATTGACAACAGAATCCAAAGGAATAGTTTACAATGTATTTAAATATATGCAAATACTATCTCCCGAAGATAATCGAACCAGTATTAAACAACGTGTGAGTGAAACTACTGGAGCATCTTTATGTACAGTAGAAAGGATCATTCAACAAGCGAATATGTTAATAAACGCAAAGTCCACACTAAAATTTCCAGTTACAACACTTGCTAAAAGGAAAGCAACGTTTGATTTGTGAAAGCAACCGTGACAAACTTGAGGGAGTATGGCAAACAGTTCATTAGAAATACCATTCATCGTTTTCAAGAGACTGAACGTTGTTGTGTATTATTGAAGCGTTTGCAAAAAAGGCTTGAAGAGGTGTACGAGTGGACTGGAAGTGTGAGTTCTCTCTACAGAATTGTGAAAGATTTGGGATTTAAATGGAAGAAAACGAAAGATAATCGACGTTTATTAATTGAATGGAATGATATTCGTGCTCTAAGCATTAAATATTTGAACAAAATTAAATATTACAGAAGCGAAGGTAAGTCAATTGTATATGTTGATGAAACCTATGTACATGCAGGACACACTACGTCAAATAGCTGGACAGATGACAGTGGCAAAGGATTGTTCAAAAACATTTCAAAAGGAAGTAGGTTGGTTATCGTACATAGTGGTGGGGAGACGGGTTTCATACAGAATGCCCTTTTGATTTTTAAGTCAGGAACTAAGACAGGAGATTATCATGATAATATGAATTCAGAAAATTATGAAAAATAGATGAAAGAACAGTTAATCCTCAATTTGCCTGTTGGATATGTTGTTGTTACTGATAATGCGTATATCATAATGTACAAATCAATAAAGCACCCCCCAGTAATTCTAAAAAAATGGATATGATATCTTGGTTGATAGAACAAATTACCATTTGCGTATAATGCAGACGAACTGAAAGTATTTTACCGGAATATCAAAGAGGCACTGAAAACAGCAAAAACTAGGGAAATAACGATAGTCCTAGGGGATCACAATGCAAAGATTAAAAAGGGGAAAAGGCAAAGTGAAAAGTGTGTCGGAAACTATGATCTGGAAATCGCAATGAAAAGGGGGACCATGATTTTTAATTCTGTTGGGAGCAGAACTTGAATATTACAAGCACATTTTTACACCGGAGAAAGTAGTTAGGAATCAGATTAGATTACATTACAGACTACATTATTATAAATAACAGATGCCATA